CAGACATCTGGGGCTGTACTGGGCCCATGCATGCTGACACCTAGCGTACCCCTGCCATTCATCCCGTGAGCAGACACGGCTGCTGTGCACACGATGGCCGGCACCTGCAGCTCTGTTTCCGAGGGCAGCCTTCAGGCCTCTGGAGCTGTTTTGCCCACACTGGTAGAGCCAAAACCAGTGACTGTCCAGTGTGGCATGCGAAAGCCCATGTCTCTCGGAGAACTCTGAGGCCTAACCCACAGCGAGCCCCCCTACAGCATCAGGCTGAGGCCTACCCTTTGCCAACTTCTTGGAAGACCTTTGTCTGGTTTCCTCTGCTTCCCTGTCCTGCTTCCCAGCTCTCTTGACAGAGGCTTCCAGAAGAACATTTCCTTAAGAAAGAGCTTGGCACAAATCCTTGTCTTGGTGCCTGACTCCAGGTCTTGGGGTCTCACTCTAACCAGGTGACGTCACCTTCCTCCTTGGGACAGCCTCTGTCCCCAAATGACTGCTGTTTCCCTCACATAGAATACCTTCCTCTTCCCCTTTGGCTCTGCTTAGGATAGAGTGCATAACAATCAAATGAGAGGGGTGCCTGGGTGGCTCAGTCAGTTGAGCGTCCGACTTCAGCTCAGGTCATGATCTCACGGTTCCTGAGTTTGAGGCTCACTGCTATCAGCCTGTCAGTGCACAGCCCGCTTCACCTCCCTTGTCCCTTCTCCCTCCCCCACTTGCACTCTCCCAAAAATAAATGAATATTGAAAAAAAACCCTATCAAATGAAATAGCGTAAGTGAAAACACTTCAAAACCTATAAAATGCCCTGCAAATGGGAATCACTTGTGGTAATAATTCATCTCACCCATCCTTCCATATCTGGATCTAGCATCACCCCCCTCCACGAAGGTGGGGGTCCCACTCTCCCTGCCACATTTTTTTTAATCGTCCACCTCCTCACCGACAGTGTAAGCTCCATGAAGGAAAAGATGCGGTCTATGCACCGCTGGAGCCTCAGCATCCACAGTGGTGTATGGTGCACAGGGCGTGTTTAGCAAACCTGTGTTAAGTTGTGTTGCTAAACTCCAGTAGCTCACTCTACTCTTCTCCCTTCAGGAAACGAAGGGCTGACAGCCATGTTAGAGATCATCTGGAGTACCTACAGCCCAGTGAGCACAGATACCTCACCTAATGTACAAAACCACTCAGTGGCAGAGCCAGAATCTGATCCTTCATCTCGCCTCCCAGACCTGAGAACTTTCCATGTGAGACTCCACCTTGAGGCCCTACACCTTCCCTGGATGGGCAGACACACCAGAAAACTGCACCCCCTTCCCCTTCAGCCAACCTACTGGCATCTGGGCCATTCAACTTAACACTGTGCCATCTTGTTATAAAGCTGCGCTGAGATTTTTAGCGCCACAGTTGTGTGTGATGTTTTCATCTCTCCAGCTAAACCTGAAGCTTCCCGGTGGCAAAGACTTCACTGAATTCAGCTCCCACCGCGTCTCCAGGACCTTGCACAGGGCTGAGCACAGACATCAGTGGGAGGAAGCGGATGCAGGTGAAGAAAGCAGGCACTGGAGCGTCTATACCTGGCTCCAACTCCAGCTCTACATTTTAACACCTGTGTGACTCTGAACAAAGTTGCCAAACTTCCTGCTCCTCGTCCAGAGTGATAACGGTCCCTGAGTCCCAGGATTATTAGGAGGACGTAATGAGATAATGTATGTAAAACATTTCACACTCAGTAAGCATAAGCAGCAGGTAACAGTAATAGTAGCAGCAGCAGTAGGAAAAACAGGCTCCATAACCACCAACTACCAAGTGGCTTCAACAGGCAAAGATCAGAGACATGGGTTGAAAGAATCCCCTGCTTATTAGTGCCTATTAACTAAGATACCATATCAGGTGTCTCTTCTGCCCTATAAAAATAAGATAGTGAGTGACCGAACACAGTTCCATGTCTCTCTCCTCAGGGGCAGAGCACCCCCTCCACCCACCCCCTCTGTTTGCTCCTGGGGATCATCTCCAATCCACCCTCCTCCTGACTTCCAGCACTCTGCTTTGTCCGCCTCTGCAGAGTTTCCACTCAGTTTAGGCCCAAGGGAAGCCCAACCCCAGGAGAGCAGTGTTGGGCACTCTGCATTTCACAAAGGCCTCCCTTTGGACAGACTCTTCACTTGGCCCTCTTTGGTCTGTTCATCCATTCATTGAGCACACACCTTTATTGAATGCTGGACACTATGGATCAAAACCTAAGCCAGATGAGCTCCCTACCCTAGAGGACCTCCCAGCCCTGAGCGTCCTCTGGCTTCTCTTTCTTCATCAGAGACTGCCTCTAAAGCTTTCCTTCCTCCTAAGCAACATTACGATGATGGTCTCATTATCAGCAATAAAGGCAGAAGAACTGGAGTCAGACTGCCAGGGCTGGAATCTTGGCTCTGAAACTCTTCACTATGTAGCCATGGGCAAATTCTTCCCCTCTCTGCCTCACCCACCTCACCTTTACAGTAAGGACAATAATACCTATCAATTAGACTTGTCAGAATAAAATGAAAACCCCATGAAGTCTTTAGAACAGTTCTTGCCACACAGTAATAAATGTTCACTAATACTATTTTACAACTTATAAAAATATCCACTCTCAAATCTAGAATGGCTATTTGGCCATTAACACAATGATGAGCTAAGTCAACAGCTGAAGGAGGAAAATGTTCTAAACTATTGTTCTGAACTATGTCAACAGCAAGACTCTGCTTTTTTAGGCAGATGCCAGGCCAGCTGAAATCTTTGCTTCCAGGGAAACTGTAAAGACTCCCCAGCAGTGACCACAAGTTCTATTTGGTAACTCAAACTCAAAGAAGGCTCTAGCACAAAGTGCAGCTGAGAGCTCAGTCAGCAGGGAAGTGCAAGAGGCTGCCCTTGGCAGACGAGGGCTGACCCCAGAGGTCCTAGTAAGGCGGCCCAGGGCAGAGCATTCAAGGTTAGTGTGGGTTCTGGAACCAAGGAACAGTAAAATCAGTGGGCAGGACAGAGCAAGGGAAATCCCGACAACTGGCAACATTTGAAATCTGAGATGGTAACAATGTGGCCCTGAGTGATCTGTCACTGACAGCAAGGCTCTCAGTCTGTGGTCCAGGATATGAAGGAGGATCCAGCTCTCAGGGGCGGTAGCTGGCAACAGTTAAGTCAGGATTCCCCAAGCAAATGAATCTGCATTAAGAACAGTCTTAGCAGGAAGCATGGCTGTAAGCAGGTAGGTCAGGATAAAAATACTTTTGAATTACCTTAGCTAATATGATAGGTGAGTCAGAGAAGGTACACAGAGGGAGAAAAAGAGAAAGGGAATGATAAGACCCAGAGACCATGAGTCACCCTTAGCTCACCCCTGGCATGCCAGGGGCCAAGTCAACCAGCAACAAAGATTTGATCCCAAGCTCCTCCAACAATGCCACTTCCTTTTGCAGTGGCTCTGTTGACCCAGCTAGGGGCACCTGTACAGAACAAAGGCAAGGAAAATGGTAGAGTAGGGCCAGAAGGCAAACCTAACACAAAAACACTGTAAGAGGCAAGCATTCCAGGCTAAGTCAAGGATGTAAGTGTTCATAGGGTTCATTCTGCACACTCAGCATTTTCAATGAAAGTGATCAACAGAAGGTTATCAGGAATGAGAGGTGACACACGGGGCATAGTTCTATTTAGGGGTTAAGTTTTTTCTGGAGGAGGTGACTAGCAGCAGCTAACCAGAGTATGTTTTCTGTATCTATAGCATGTTCTCTCGCCATCAAACCCAGAGGGCAAATGCCAAAGGCCTCTAGAGGGTTAGTCCCTGGATAATAACCTAGAGATTCACAGTAATCTTTTTCCACTGCACATCTTAAAGCACATATCCATCCCCTAACATTCAGACTTTCCCCTTCCCAAGTCTCTGAACCAGAGCCAGATCTCAGCCCCACACTCCTCCCTGCCACAACATGGCTGTGACCCATGAACTTGACATTTAGGGGCCATGCCAATCTTTGGGGACTCATTCCACCAAATTTCCATTGCTCCAGGGCAATGGGAAGGAAAGACCCAACAGCACTCATAGCACCAGAAATAAAAAGACTTGAGACTTTTTCTCATACCAGTGACAACACCAGGGGCTCCCAAGCCCAGCAATTAAAAGTAGGGGACACTATCTTTGTGTCTCACTGCCACAAAATGCTAGGCAGGTCACCTAAGTCTGGCCATGTCCTCGATGAAGTCAATTCCAATGTCTGAGACTCAGTTTCTCATCTGTTACCATCAAGAAGCAAAACTAGGTGGGGCGCCTGGGTGGCGCAGTCGGTTAAGCGTCCGACTTCAGCCAGGTCACGATCTCGCGGTCCGTGAGTTCGAGCCCCGCGTCGGGCTCTGGGCTGATGGCTCAGAGCCTGGAGCCTATTTCCGATTCTGTGTCTCCCTCTCTCTCTGCCCCTCCCCCATTCATGTTCTGTCTCTCTCTGTCCCAAAAATAAATAAACGTTGAAAAAAAAAAAAAAAGAAGCAAAACTAGGTGACCACCAAGGTCACCTCCCACCTAGGATTCTACAACTCCCTGATGCAAGAGACCAAAGAAGTCCAACGTTTGTTGAGCTCAGGGAACCAGGCCACACTCCCTGCCAGGGAGGGGCCCCAGACTGGAAGAGCAGGAGTGGCCATGAGGCCACAGTCACAACAAGGGAAGTGAAAGAAAGCAAGCCATGCCTTGGAGCCTGGAACAAGCCGGGCCGGCCTCTGCTGAACTTCTGAAGTTTTAAATTCCTGAGCGTAAGAAAAGATACCAGATCCCCAGGATCAGGACAAATGAGCTTCTTTTTCCTCAAACTAGTATCTGGGATGGCTGTGTGTGTGTGTGTGTGTGTGTTGTGGGGAGTTTCACTCCTTACTGACCACCAGTGCGATGCTGCCCACAAGAGATGAAGTGCTTGGACCTAATCCCATGCATATTCCTCCCAAGCAGTGACAGGCAGCCAGCCACCTTCCCATGCAGCCTCTCACCTGGGGGTTGTCCATGTACCAGAGAAGGCAGTTGGCCTGGGTGTCCAGAATAAAGTACCTCCGCAGAAACTTGCCGCTGTTCTCATTCTCCTCGATGTCCAGAAACCCACAGATTCGGTTCTGTCGATCCACATAAGGCATTCCTGGGCTCTGCTCACATCACCCTGCATGGCAGGAAGAAGGGAGGTGCTGATGAGGAGGGTGAAGGGTGCCCTGCCTCAGGACCTGGAGGACCTTCACTCTGGCTTGACTCACCTCTGTAAGAAGGTAGGCTTCTACATATCAGCCCCTTTCCCCAGAGCAAATGTTCCACCCCAACCAGACCCTGGAAACCTCCATCAATTCTGTTCCATAAGCAGCCATCAAAATTCATTAACATGTACTCAACTAAGTGTCCTGAGGGCCCACTGTGTGCCGAGCAGAGTCTTATGCAACTTTACACATAAAAAGAGGATATAAGCCTAGACTTCGGGTCAGGGGCCTGGGTTCAAATTCCAGTTTTAGCTACTCATGAATTGTGTGACTACAAACTATTTAATCTTTCTGCACCTCAGTTTCTGCACCTGTAAAATGGGGATAATAGTGGTACCTACACCTCATAAGATTTTGGTGAGAATTAAGTGCCCCATGCACATCAAGCATTTTACGAACACTAGGCATTATGATGACCCTTTACAAAGGCCTTGTAAAGTAGGTTATAACCGAATTTTATCCACAATGAAACTCAGAAAGGATTTAAGCTGCAATTCAAATACCTGCATAAAACTTTGCCAGGAATGCAGCCACAAAGAGCAAACCCTCCAGCTCCAGGAAGGTACTAAGGAATTAAATCTGAGGGGCTCATGGGGCCTTGTGGCAGGGCCACATCCCTCAGCCCTAGCTTCACTTACTTCACTCTGCTGTTCCCCAAAGGCCACTTATGACTGAAAGAATGAGGAATCAGAAGAAGGCTCCAACCAATGAGCACGGTCACAGATTCCAACAAGGCCTCTGATGATGGGAGATAAGCTTTGCCTTCAAGCCGGACTCCCTTCTCCTCATGATTTCCTTCTGACTCTCCAAAGAACCAGACAAAAGGGCAGGAGCTCTCTTCTCCTCCCCAAAGAGGATGAGCGCCTTCCAACAAGCAGCTACGCCCAACCCGGATGCACAGGTGGAACACAAGAGCCAGAAAACGCCATGTGACATTCTGACTTTCAAGAACAAACACCACCCACCACTGGGTCCTGCTTGGCTCTGACAAGCAAACCTCACTATGACCCAAGCCCACCAGGGCCCTAAGCAAAGTGGTGAGCTGGCTGGCTTACAGCCATGCCTGCACCACAACACTGGATCAGCAAGTAAGCCACCAAGATGCTGCACCCATAGTGGCGCAGGCCCAGGGTAGGCCAGTCCCAAATTCCCACAAGATCAGGCTCATTCGAAGGGTAGCTACTGGCAGTGTGGTCTGCTCTCCTTCCCACCCCCACAGGGGGCCCTGCAGTGTGGAGAGGCTGCCCCAAGAAGAAAGGGCCTCCCCCCTCCCCCGACACACACAAGGACACCAATGAACAGTAAATCCTTGATTGCGGGTTAAGATCAGCCCAAATTCCCAATGGGGACAGATGACAGGGGACCCAACGGCCACTTGATGGGGACAAAAGAGTACAGCAGGCAGAGAAACAAGACAAAGATGAAGCAGCACAGCTAAAAGGGAAGAAAAGAAGAAGTAAAAGGGAAGGTGAGAAGATAAAAAGTGGAAAGACGGGGTTTTAAAAGATGGTGGAGGAGAAGGAAGTACAGCAGAAGTGGAGGAAGTGGAAACAGCATCACGTCTGTCACAGGTGCCTGCAGCCAGACCCCTGCTTCCCGGCGCTTTCCTGAGCTGAGCATCCACCCCGGCTCCCGTTTCACAGTGGGGCGAGCGTGAGGTCAGGAAAGGGGAAGTGATGGGCTTGAGCCAAGAGTCAGGAACAAGCACCATAGGAGGAATTTCAAGTCTTCTAGCAAACGCTGAGTTAAAGACGGGAGGCGGTGTTGGTTGGGAAGGAGCACACCCCTGAGACAGGATGCAGTTCCCCACCGCCCAGAGAATCGGGAAAATCGGAGTCCCACGCAGAAAGGCTAGGATGACCCAGGCATCCCATGCATAGTCCCATGCACAGCTCCCTGAGGGAGCTCACCCAACCCCCAGGAAAACTCGGTAAATTCCCTTGGTGGCAGCCTAGTCACAGAGATAGAATTTCTGGGGGGGGGGGGGGGG